TTTTTAGGCAGCGTACTGATGAGGAAACATGTTTGTATACAATTTAGTTGTAGTTAATGAATGGAACCATGTAAAGAATATAATCCACATGAGGACGAAGAAATGGAAAGGATCGGCCAGCTGTTGGCATAATTTTACTAAAAACTGTAGGCAGCAGCAAGTATATGAATATTCCAGAGCTGGTATCGATGCCGGATACATATTTCCACCAATATGGACTTTACTCTTCTGCTGCAGAGAGTATCGTTGCCAGACATTTTTGGCCAATCCCAAGTTTGTTGTTTTGTGGCTAGAATAAGAAACTCAAAGAGAGATTCTTTGTGGAGAATTACAGTAAATATTCATGGGTAAGGAAAGTAACGCAAAGAGGACCAAAAAAAAAAATGAAAATTGTGGGAAGGAACTGGTTATCAAAAAATTGATGGAACGAGGTAGTGGAAGAGAGTTTATCACTTTAATTGTATATGTGGTAGTCGTTTCTTACGCTATACAATTTTCATATGATTCCTCCAACTTGTAGTGGGCCATGGATAGAATTCATTTTGGTTGGAGCATGCTAGACTTTGTTTTAGTGTGATAATTATTTCCCGTCTTAATAATACTTTTGTAGTTTAATGTTACAGAAAAGTAATTAAAGTTATTGGTTTTCTTAAATAATAATAATAATAATAAATAAATAAATAAATAAATAAAAGAAATGGACTTGTCATGGATTGTATTGAAAAATTACGATGGAAGGTACCAAAACTTGCAAAAAAAATACATAATAGCCAAAACCCCAACTACACAGCATAAAAGAACAATACAGTTCAAAACTTGAAGCTAATGGTAACACCAACAAAAGACAACAAACTTAGTGAGTGTTGAAGTTTTCCTCTTTTTGTATTCTGGCTGGTAGTCGATATCCATGTATAATCACAGTTCTTGAGTCTGTTGTCTCAAAGAATGCAATTCTAGGCTTATTTAGTGTTTACATGTTGAAGCATTAGACCACTTTGTTGTAAAATGTTCTCTTTGGCTATATGGAATATTGAAAACTTGCAGTTCAAATGAAATAGGCTGTAGCATGTGACGATTGAGGAATATTACCTCCCCTAAAACCAATCGGGAATGGGCAAAATTAACGTCACTGAGGAGCTACATAATAAGACAATAATTATCTCGAAAGATAAAAAGGTAAGAGAACACAACAAGAAACTCTCAATTAGTTCAAGGTCCTTGTACCATCTTCTCTTTAGGCACACTCAAGATCAAACCACTACAATATTGTCTGCCTGCCTCAAAGCCCGACCCTTCTATTTATAACAAATATTTGTCTAATAACTTTCAACAAACTACTTTGCTAATTGTATTGCTCTTTTTTATTAAGAGATATCATTCCAATGCGGCTGTGCTTAGCTTCTGGTTAAATATTTTTGCATATTGTATGTAATGATTTAAGTACGTATATATTCCCTTTTTGTTCAACTTATTTTGATCAATAAAATAATAAATGTTAGGTTAAAAGAAGACACTAAATAGTTTGTAATGAAATCCCGAAGTTTCAAGTTGACAATTCTTTCTCCTAGCGATGGTTTCAGAAAGTGGGAACAAAAAATGTTTTGATCACTTTATTTTTCTCATGGATGCCATCTTTAACTTTTCATTTCTCTTCTATTGAATTCTAAAAGCAAGAACTTTTTGCAGTGATAACACACAACATGCTGTAGTCACTTCAATTCCGAAACCAAGTCCCAAGGATGCCATACAGCGTAGGGAGAAATACATTCAGGCTAAGGTAGAATGCACTTTTCCTCTGCATTTTCCACTTTTGCTAAATAGTGTATAAGGTCTGTAAATCATTGCCCATTTTTCATATATATTTTTAATTTAATTATTCATAATTCCTTGCGAGCAACCCCACTGCATTATTTTTGGCCCCAATTGTGATCACCTAATCTAGGAGGGGTATCTAGGAAAAAGACCTCCAGAAAATTCGTTAGCGGAACGTGTGGTATGATTAGTTAGTTTGGGAAGGGCACGGATATTAGTACTGTGTTTGTTGACGGATAGGCCTCGAGAATTGTCTGGGCTGTCTTGTATATATCTTGTATTCGCACTTCTGTTTTTCAATACAATCAGAGAGTAAGGTAGTATCCTTCCACATTATTATTATAATATCTACACATTATTGTTATTGGTCACTATTCTAGAAGATCATTTAAATATTTTTGTTTTCACTGCATTGATGACTTTCTCTTGGGATATGCTTGTATTTTCATATTTCTCTCATATGAAGCTCAGTACCTTTTCACAAGTTTTGTCATATAAGTTTATTATTTGTAGCTTCTGTTTCTTGAATAGTATGTAGAGAAACAGCTTTTGGTCAAGGATACCGAAGCGTCCGGCAACAATTCTTATGCAAAAAGTATATGGGAAGCTGTCCGAACAAATGACTTGCGAGAAGTCTACCGCCTCATTGCAGTTTCGGCAGTGTCAATTGTCAACAAAACTTATGATCATGCGGTCAGTGTCAGTTCAAGCCCACATTTGGATGAGGAACCCTCGGGAGGTAATCGAGAATCACATAATCCATCATCGTGCGGGAGAGAGATGGATTCTAATGAGTCAAGGAGCAGTCTTCAAGGTTGCTCATTATTGCATCTCGCTTGTCAAAATGACAACCAAGTGATGCTTGAATTGTTATTGCAATTTGGTGCTGATATAAATGTACGCGATTCTCATGGAAGGACGCCTCTACACCAATGCATCTCCCAGAAAAACAACACGCTGGCTAAGTTGCTACTGAGAAGGTACAATCTGTTCTCTTTCTTCTTCTTCTTCTTCATTTTTTTTTTTTTTTTTTCCTTTCTTTATGTTGGAGCTGTTTATTTTTGTGGTGTTTTGTTGTTGGGTGAGGGTGGCTGTTGCTACTTAGAGAACTACCCTTTTGTTGATTATTAGAAAATATAGGTGTCAAGTATCCCCAATCGAAAAGCCTAAGCTAATAGGTTAAGGTAGAGTCTTATATCAATACTTCCAACTCTCCTTTAGACGGTTTGGATATTAGTACAAAATCCAACAAGTGGTGATTGGTATTAATTGGGAGAAAATGACATTACAAATGTGTGAACATAGAACCTCCTACTATGATACTATGTTAAATCAGCACTCCACAAAAACTTAATCTAATGGGCTGTGATAATTTAATCTTTTACTTTAGCAATGTAGCAAACTTTTACTGGCAAGAAGTAATGGAGTCTAGAGGGGTAAACACTTGATTTGCTCATTCTAACTTTTCTCTGCAGTACTCAAGTAAGAGATGTAGTTCGCAATTTCTCATAAACATGGAGGAAGAACTCTCCATCTGGTCCCGAAGTTACATTATAAGCTTTTAATTCCATTCTTTTCATCCTAACGTAAAAATAGATTTACAACATTTTTTTTACAAAAGGCAATTGACATGTAGCTGGAAGGTTTTCTGATGTCAATGGTAGAACTTTATAACGTTTGCTGACGACGGAACAATTTGACACAAATCTTAATGAACAAATCAATTTTTAAAAAAATACTGGGGACCAATGGGAAATTATTTGTTAGAGTTGCTTGATCAAGCTAGAAGTGTATATTATTTCAAATGACATTGATAGTGGTGTTATGCAATCTTATTACCTGTGTCCCTGCTTCTTATAACTTTATGAACAGAGGTGCTCGACAATCAATCAAAGATGGTGGGGGATTAAGTGCGTTAGAAAGAGCAATGGAAATGGGATCAATTACCGATGATGAGCTATTTCTTTTGCTTACAGGATCCGATTAAAGCATATGGACACTTTTGATTATTATTAATATTAACACCATTGTTTATTGTGTAACTTACTGTATTCCTTTTTCTGTTAATCGGATCTAAAGATTTGTTGAGCTATTTTTCAAATGACCTAAAGTTTTGTAATTATTGTTAACTTCTGCCATCTCTTCATGGTTGATGATCATGAGAATAATTTATTAATTTCCAGTGAAGATGCTATCTTTGGACAAAAATTCTCAATTTGGTATAGTTCTTCTTTCTTCTCGATTTTTGGATCCACAATAATTGTAAGAATAATCTGAATAAATAGATGATAAACCATCTTCAAGAAGTTTGACAAATTTCCTTGAAAACTGATCCATGATCATTATCAAGAAGAAAAGAGAATCGAACTCTCCACAATCTCTTTCCAACGCTTTAACAACTCTTCTCGTTATGGTTCTTGTTTATGTTTTCAATGCCACTCTTGAAATTGCTGGAATTTTTTCAAGAAGGAGCTGGATTGCCAGATTATTCTCAGTCTTGCCCATCGTTGAATTGAAGCATGGCAAAAGGAAACAAAGTTTTAAATGGTTCTTTGAACTTATAACTTGGACACCATGATATTTTAATTCTTCTTGCAAGAGAACTCTCTATGCTTTGCACATATTTACATATTTACATATTTCGTGAACGGATGCAGTGTTAACTCCCTCGACACTTGACCCCACCCAGTGCACATCTCTTGTAGGCCATAAGCATAAACCAAAGAAACGTAATATCTAAGATAGTCATCAATCAAATATTGACAACCATATTCCTCTTTATTTTGTTCCAACATTTTTATGCGAATATATGTAATTCTGGTTGGTCTCCTTTATTTCCTATACTACTACAAATATATAGATATATATATATATTCTTTTTGTTTACATTTATTTTTCTTAAAATTAATATGCGTTAGTAATAACGGATCAATATACCAAAAGATAACATTTTATTATATAACTGAGAAAATACACGAGAATTGAGTTTCATCTAGTCTGCATGAGGATACTTATTTAATTTATAGAAAACCCTCACAAACATAGAGAACCACGGGTAATAAGTACAAACATACACATCAAGTCTAGAAGACAGGTAGATTAGAAGCAAAACACAACTAAGACACAACATACTCAATCGTATTATAATATGAATGAGATGAAGCTCGAATAGAGACATATAGAGGTTTATTTATCTTTAAGGTGGGATTCAATGTCCTTGATCAAGTTGTTCAAGAATCCAATGTGCTTGTCTGGATTGGGAGAGTTATGGTCAAGTTTCTCCTATTTCATGCGCAAAACTACCGAGTTAAGTTTAGGTCCCCTTGGTACAACTTGAAAAATAACGTCAAAGGCCTTGTAATACTTGAACATATCTCCTCCCACTCCAATCATGGATATGAGTAGGTCGTTATCGTCGAATTCCTCTCGTTCTTTGTAAATTTCAGCTTTACCATCTTAACCAACCACATAGCAAAACAAGAGGAGATGAATGGTTTAGAATAAGGTATAAAAGAAGTGAAAAGAAAAGTGAGTATGTAAGTATGTATGTAGGCATACCGATTGTGTAATTTCCATCATGAACGTCAACTTTCTGGATGGGCTGAGAAATATTTGGGAGATTGAAAGAATGGTGTGTGAAGATGTTGTAGAATTCAGTTGCAGCTGCCTTTATTTCTACTTCCCTCGAAAGCTCTTCAACAAGAGGCATGGTTTCAGGACTATCCTATGTATAGCTTGATTGCCTTACTCAAACAAACCCACAAACAGCGATGCCCCATGCCTTCCCACAAACAAAATGAGTATTTATAAATTTAAAAATGCTTGGATTTTTTGGAGTTTGAAACAATAACTGCTATTAATCATATTTAATTTTTCTTTTTTCAACTCGTGGTTGGCATAATCTTAGGTGGCGGGGGTTTGGAATAAATTAGTTTGTGCGTTGTGTCCCTCAATTAAAATTAAACATTTATGATTTTTTTTTTTTTTTTTTTTTTTAATTTAAGCTAATGGCCATAAATTTTTGTTTTAGGCATTAAAGATAATTAAAATAATATTATTGACTTCTTGAATTCCGCCTTTCTCACATTCCTACATTAATCTATCTTACACCTTAAACTATATAAAAACAATATAGTTAACCACGATAGTTTACAATGGTCAAAAAATTCAGCGGCGACCTCCACGAAGCTACGACGACATTCAGATGATGCTGCAACCAAGAACAATCTGAGGATGAGGAAGCGGAATCGACCCTGGATTAAAAGCTAAATCGAACACTCTCACCCACCGTTATTCAATTGAAGGTGGTGCGAGCAATGGAGATGGACGAAGACTATTCTAAAGCAAGGCTGGCATCAAAGAAGTGAACAGAGAAGCTGTACTGTAAAATCATGAATCATGAGTAAAATACATAACAACTATTTCCTTTGAGTATACATGATTTATTTGAACCCATGTAAAAATGTTTTTTAATGGAAAACTTTAAGCCTAAAGTTTCTAAATTTTTTTAGGGTATGGAAATACTCATCTAAATTTGGAATGGAATTTCATTGGATCGAAAAGCTTAAGCTAACAAATTTTACTTGAAACGATGATGCGAAATCAAGTGAGATAAGTTGTGTTTGCTTTACCATTTACATAAAAAAATTGATCATATACATAATAATGCAGGAAGCAAAAACCAGAGCGGGAGGCGTACTCCGCGAAAAGATTCGGAGGCAGAATTGAAAGGCGTAAAGCTTGAACATCATGTCCGGCACCAATCCCTTTTTCTTCTTTACGATTTTCCGTGTCCATTTTCTCGTCTCTCGAATTCGTTTCTGTTCTCCAATTTGATTGGGTTCTTCAACACGCAAGCCCCTCGTATAAGTACTTGCTGACGTTTTGGGAATTGGGACATCTTTTTTCTCCGCCGATCGAAAATGGATGACGAGGTGGTCCAGCGGGTTCTCCAAGAAGGCAGAGATTTCTACCAAAAACAGCCCTCCACTTCCACCTCTTCCTCCTCCATCCTTCAATCACTGCCGCTACATGTGGTGTGTTTGATTAATCGCCTGAATTCTGGTTTTTGTTGACTTGTATGACTGTTTTGTTACTGATTCGAGCGAATTGGATTGGGATTTTTTCTTTGATTCTATTTTTGTATGGGGTGTTCTTGGTAATCTCTAAAATTCCACTTTTTTTTTTTTCTTTCTTTCTTATTATTATTTGTGTGTTTGTGGGTTTGTGTATACTGGTTTAGTGCTGTGCTGAATTGATGCTGGTTCTTCTTCATAATTTTCGTCATGCAAAGCACATTGTAAACTGGTAACTTCGACTTTCTCGTTCACTTGGGGAGGAATTTTTTAACCTTTGACATTTTAGTTGAGGATATAGTATGTACCTAAATGAGATGAGTATGCTCAGGCTGGTTCTTTGTATTTATCCTCAACTATGTCTGTTTGTATCTCGCTGTCATACATTATTGGGAAAGGATAGTTCTGCTAATTCTATGAGTCCACTAATATGTATCTAATGATACACTCTGAAACCTTGTGAATGAGGTTAATCATTTCTGAATTGACATATGCAGTCTTTCGATCATGGATATTATCTATTAGTAAAATCCATCCAAGAACTTAGAGAGAAAAAAGATGGACTTGTAACAGTTGGAATTGGTGGTCCAAGCGGTTCTGGTAAAACCAGGTATAACATTTTTTTCCCCTTCTTTTTCACCCTGGTGAGAAAACATTGGTTAGGGTTTACTTACCATCTTTCAATTGCTCTGATATGTCATGCTATGTGATTTTGTTGAAGCTTAGCAGAGAAAGTGGCATCTGTAATTGGCTGTAATGTTATATCGATGGAAAACTATCGTGATGGAGTTGACGAGGGGAATGATTTGGATTCTATAGACTTTGATCTTCTAGTGCAGAATCTTGAGGTTTTTTTTCTTTATTATTATTATTTTTTTTATATGTCTGCCCAACTTGGCTCTATTAAATTTTTAATATTAGTTTCCAGAAACTTAATGTTTTACAATGTCCCTACTTTTCCAGTCAATATTTATGAATGGGCTCTACAAATCTGTTCGCAGGATTTGACAAATGGAAAAGACACCATGATCCCAGTTTTTGACTTTCATCTGAAGAAACGGGTCAGTTCAAAAGTAATAAAGAGTGCTTCGTCTGGGGTGGTAAGTGGTGATTACTTTAGCTTGTGTGATGTATTGATTATTTTGGATTGATTTCTCTGCATTTTTTGTATAGGTAATCATCGATGGAACCTACGCATTACATGCAAAATTACGTTCTTTGCTAGATATTCGGGTTGCAGTGGTAACTTCTTATTCTATTCTTCATTTCTAATGTATGGGGTGAATGTGAATTTTTGTATGCAACTTTTTTTGAGAAGTTTCCAATCTACTGGTCACATGGATGTTTTCATATCAAAGATAAAATTATGATATAAGATTCACTAATGTGCTCTAGGGATGACTGTAGCCCTTTTGATGTTTCTTTTAGTAATAAGATGTTGAAGTAGCAGTTTATTGATTTATTTTTGGAAAATTAGGTTGGCGGAGTTCATTTTAACCTTCTCTTCAAAGTTCGGCATGATATTGGAGATTCCTGTTCATTGGATTACCTTATTGATAGCATATTTCCTTTGTTTAGAAAGCACATAGAGCCAGACCTCCATCATGCCCAGGTTGGTATATCCACTTATCTCTGTTATTGTATCTGAAACATTAGATTTACAATTATATTTGTGTTTTAATATTGCAGATAAGAATTAACAACAGCTTTGTCTCATCATTTAGGGAAGCAATATACAAGCTGAAATGTAGAAGTGAGGTCTGTACTAATCCTTTTGGTTTATGCTAACAAAACCTATTTTTGTATAGCAAAGATGGGATTGATTATTCTACTGTTTTGCCCCCTAATCTTATGCAAAGGATGTTTTCATGTTTCGTTTTCCCATGGTATAAATTTGTTTTAGAGTAGTTTTGTCAAAAAACGAATGCTCTGATTTTGTCGTCATGCAAGATTAGCTTGACATTTTTTGAAAACTTTTTAATACATGTCAAGGAAGATACTTTGGCTTCACTTTAAACCAGAGGGCCTTCTAAGAGAAATCTTGTAGCCTCAAAGCCAATGGGATAGAATTCCTTGCGAATTCGAGTTTCGGCAATCATACCATCGCTTTCGAAAAAGCATGTTCCTCAATAAAGTGGCTTCAGCTCCTTCACCTCTCCAATAGGAATGGGTAAACTGATTGTCCCAAGAAGAAAGTTAATGAAAACAAAGGTCAAGAATATCTTGGTTTAACAGAAGTAGTCAAAATCTTGTCTCTATCATACTATGATTGCTCTCTATTTATAAATAAACGGGTGAGTTGATGCTATGGTGGTGCCCGACCCAAGTTTCTTTTTTGTCATAGCTGAGGGAAAAAAATAAATTCTAGGAGAAAAGGGCAACCTATCTGACTAATCTGACTAATAAGAAAAAGGGGGTGAGATAGGCCTTTGAAAGAGGAACACAAACCTATTTACGCTTTGTCTCCATCTGATGTTTTCTCTCTAATTCTTCTTGTAATTATGATCTTGTCCATGCTGTGGTCAATCAGGAGCCCATTCTGTAACCCTTTGGCTTAGTGGGGATTTCTCATCTCCCATTCTGTAACCCTAAACCTTCTGTATATCTTTCGAGCATTATATGTTCGTTTGTTTCTTATAAATTCTTTTTTTTGGAATCTATGGCTTGAGAAGAACAGCAGAATTTCCGATAGTTTGGGAAATACTTTTTTTCCTTTTAATTCTGAAATTGTTTGGTTTCTTATAAAAAAATAGAATCTTAATAAATTCTTCGTACTTTCTAATATCCCGTAGAAAGGAATATATTAAGTTTTTTTTCTTCTTCTTATTCCTTATTCATTGCCATGATTTTAAGTTCCTCAATGTGGGCAACAGTTATCATATGCATGCTCACTTACTCTAAAACTGTCGTCTTTTCTGACAGTTCCCAGATGTAGATTCTGCTCATCTTTTTAAAGGAAATCAACCGCATACGGACAAGTAGGTCTATCAGTACATATTTATTTCAAGTTGCTACTTGTCAATATTGGGTTGGTTTCAGTGCTTAATTTTGTTCAGATTCCAGTTTTATTGAGATGTATCTTAGGCCTCCATCTGCAAGTGAAGAAGCGCGCATAAATGACTGGATTAAAGTGCGACAATCTGGTATTAAGTACTATCTATCACTTGGTGATCAGAGGATAGTCGACAAAAATTTTATCATCAGACCTAAAGCTGAATTTGAGGTAACGTATCTTATTCATAAGATGAAGCACTAGATTTGTTTTATAGTGATCCATTAATCATTGGAATAATATCAAATAGCAATATTGCCTTACCAGAGTTTGCTATAACATTTCACTACTTTCTTTGCTCGTGTTTGCGTGCATGTTGTTTGCAATTATCTTCAAAATACTTATCAGCAATAAATTCTTAGAATACTCATGACTAATAGGTAGCTTATCAATTTTGATTCGAGGTGGATTCCTTTTTTTGTTTAATTTTACAAGTCGAGTAAAAAAAAATTTAAATCTTGATTGCTAGTTTATTTAGGGTTCTCACACTAACCTGTTAAAATGTGCGTTAACGTCAAAGAATCTCGGTTTTTGATGTAGTTGCCATAAGTTAGTTTTTTTTTTTTTTTTTTTTTCTGTCGAGATTGGGTTGGTGTTTTGTGTTCCATTAATACAAGATTGAAACGAATTGATTTATCTTCAAAAAATTGCCTAGTCATTAAAAAATGGCCAAGGGATTAATAGAAGATAGCAAAACTCCTGCTACCTTTTGCTTAATTATTAATAACTCTCTGAATTGTTTATGGCTGTGACAATGTTGTTTTGACTACTCTGTAAGTCTTCTGCATTAGTTATACATAGGCAAATTTGTTTTGGTACAGAAAGGGATAAATTTGTAGGGGACCTCTTTGGTGGAGTTTAAAATGATTATGACATTTATGCAAGGAGTGGGATGTTTAACCTTGAGGATAGTATGGTTTTTAAGATGCACACAGTATGGTTGGAAAATATTGAACCTTGGAAGCCTGTAAAAGGCAGATCCCTTCATGTATGTGTCATATAGTATTTACCATTTAGCATTTCTTTATTTCTTTATTCTTTTTTTTATATCTTTTGTGATATTGGTTGTGTAGTATGTCTGTATTTATTATTTATATTACTAATATTTTTTCCTTATAGGTAGATGGTCTTTTTTTCTATATAAGATCTTGTATTTGATTCAGTATGTAGAAGAAATACAATCATTTTTATCTCTTCCAAAAACTAAGTTGGTATCTGAGTAGGAGCTTTAGCCTTTTACAAATTTTTAAGTCTATAAGCGAGAGGAAATGTTAAGAGTATTGGTATAATTAAATTTACCATAACTCATCGATTTAACAATTATATCCGTTGCCTTTGTTTTAGAACTTAGAAGTTAGCATCTATAGATATATTATTTTGTTACTTATAGAGGCCTTCACACTTCAGTTGATTTTACTTGTTCTATCTTAAATTGAGCAGGTTGGACGGATGACTTTAGGTGGTTTGCTGGACTTGGGGTATACAGTAGTTGTTGGTTATAAAAGGGCTTCTATATCAGTAAATAAGGGCAATGTTTCTGTGTCGCTTGAAACAATTGATTCTCTTGGTGAGACATTCATGGTGCTGAGAAGCTCAAATCGAAAAGTAGGCACTGATAATCCTTTTATAAGTCATATTTATTTTCCCTTGTAGGCTAGTTTTGGTCTTGCCCCCACCTTTTAGTGTAGTCTGACTGTTCAAACCATTTTCAGATTAGAACCATGCTCTCTCTCTCTCTCTCTCTCTCTCTCTCTCTCTCTCTGATTGCATCTATCTTATTCCATTTTTCATGATAAAATCCTTCTTGCTATATATATAGTTTTGGGTGAATTAGTCTATGAAGGATCAGTGGTGGAAAGTATTACATGTATACTGATAGCGGACATGTTTTTCATTTCATGGCTTCTCCTTTCTCTTTTCCTTTCCTTTTTAGACAGTCGGAGAAGAAGTGTTGAGGATGGGTATCAGAGGATCTTGGATTACAAAGTCATACCTGGAGATGATTCTTGAAAGAAAAGGTAGAAACGACAAGCTTCAAATGTGGAGCCTAGTATTCCTTGCTCTGCTATCCTTTTCTTTTCTTTTCCCTCTCTCTTTCTTTCTCATTCCATCTCTTTAGTTTCAGGTTTATCTTGCTTTCTCTGAATTTCTTTTGGCCGGGGGGTTATTTTCTATAAGGCATACTTGTGCATCCCTTTAAACACTATTGTTTTTCGTAGTTTTCTTCATTTTTTTCAAATTTAGTTCTTTTTTTTTTTTTTTCAAATCTTATTTTTAGTAACCTCTCCTGCAGGTGTACCACGATTAAATACCCCTCCACTTTTACCAAATACATCTGTGGTTAATAACCAAGAAAAGGTTGTCATTGCTCCAAGGCCTATCCGTGTTACTTCAAACCCTGTTTCTCGACTTGAGGATCTTTCTCAGCCATGGACTCGATCTCCAACAAAATCTCAAATGGAACCAGTAGTTGCAACATGGAAATTTATTATTCCTCCCCGATCTGAAAGTTTAATGACCGGTATATTTCCTTAAGTTTTAGCATTTATATGATCAAATTTGTACGGGTATTCTATTAGAATGATACATGTTTAGATTACTCTCATGAAGCAACCACAGATCCTGCCTCTTTCAGGGACTATATGAGGCTTGCTCCAATGCCTGATTCATGTGACCTGGATAGAGGTTTGCTTTTAGCTGTTCAAGCGATTCAGGTAGTAATGCTATATGAGTTGGTAGAGTACAGTTTAGGACTTCATATTACTGTCCGCAGTAACTGCAGGTTTGGTATTGTTTCAGGCGTTATTGGAGAATAAAGATCTTCCTGTTATTGTTGGAATTGGTATGACATACTTATTATCTTAGTGGATATTTTGTCATTCCCTTTAATTTTTCCGTATTCATGAGGTAATTTTGTTCAGATCATGGTTGTGTTTCTGTCTTTGGGTCCTTGAGCTTTCATAAAGTTAAAATTTACTCCCTGAAGTTTAGTTTATAGTTTATAATGATCTAGTCCTTGCAACTTTGTAACAATTTAGTCCTTCTAGTTCTGGTCATTAGGCCTTTGTGTAATTATGATCTTGGTCTTGAGTTCTATTTTTGTAATTTGTTTTGTGCCTTTTGTTTGAACTTGTTTTCTTATGTGCCCTTGTATTCTTTCATTTTCTCAATGGAAGATCAAATTTGTACTCAAAACTTTGTAACAATTTAGTCCTTCTAGTTTTTTATATTCCCTCGTATTCTTTCATTTTTATTAATATGTAACAATTTAGTCTCCCTATTTTAAAATTTGCAACATTTAGTCCCTAGTTTGAAATATATTATTAAGATTTAATAGAATTTCTTATACATGTAGAATGATAAACTGATTAGAGACTAAATATGTTCATAAATTATAAACACTAAATTGTTACATTATATATGAATGAGAGTTTTCGAAGTAGGGATTAAGTTGTTACAAATTTGGAAGTAGTGATACTAAATTGTTGTATGTTAAACTTCAAGGACTAAATTGTTACAAATTTAATAGTACATGGACTAAATCGTTATCATCTAATGCTATGAGACTATACTGTTACTTTCATGAAAAGTTCGAAAACCAATTTTTTTTTTTTTTTTTTGTAGCCTTCTTCTTTTAAGCAATAAAAAGTTAACATGCTATAACGCCTATTGGATTTTTGAAGTTAACATGAAACTCCTTGAGAAGATTCCAACTTGACTACCTTCTAGCTTGAAAACATAGCTAACAGCAGATCGTATTGTCTGTGACAACCTGGCAATGGAAACTATTATATATAGATCAAGAACGAGGTTGATAACTTTTTGACGGAGCTACCACCCCTTCACATTCTAACCCTAATTATTCTCCCTTCACTGCCCCCTTATATAATGGAATATCTATTCTGTAAAGGGGTTGAGAAATCGATTAAGGAGTTCTGTGAGGTGATTAGATTACTTGTCTTTGTGGGCTGTCAATGGATTGAGTTGTGTTCTTATAATTAGCTTTGGGTTTTTTTTTTTTTTACCTTTGTTTTTCGTATGTCCTTATATTCTTATATTTTTCTTAGTGAAAGTTTCGTTTTTTCAGGAAGAATTGTTAGGAAATGCTAACTATCCCACGTAACTAACTAAGAAAATCTTATATACCAAGTAAATTTCATCGCCTACTTCCGCCCATGTATCAACATCTTAGCCTCAAGTTGATGAGAAATAACCCAGATTTTAAGTTACATTCGTTTCGTACAACTGAGTTACTATTTAATCTTATACTTCCCATAAGTTATTCAACTATTCTTCATTCCCGATGCTACTGTTTCAGGTGGTCCAAGTGGGTCAGGGAAGACTAGTTTAGCTCATAAAATGGCTAATATTGTTGGATGTGAAGTAATTTCTCTCGAGAGTTATTACAAATCGGAGCAAGTGAAGGATTTCAAGTATGATGATTTCAGCACGCTTGATCTGCCGCTGCTGTCCAAGGTTGAAGATGCGTGTGTTTTCTGATTTTGTCCAAAGTGGTCATTTTATTGCTATTTATACCCTTTAAACTGCTGCAGTATGTAGCTTCTTTGTGAACTCATATTTATCCTTTTTCAAATGCATCTTTTCAAAGATTGAATAAATAACTAATGGCTATAAAAGGAAAAACTCACTGAGGTTTCTCAAGGAAGAGCATTATATGAGTTAGCCATGACCAAAATTACATATGAAGATACAGTCACAAATCATTGTTGTAGTTGTCTTACGCTTGTTATTTTTATTATGCATTTTCAGAATATTGATGACATG